GGGGCACGGGTAGAGGTAGCGCTTGGGCGGGCTGGGGCACGTTGGGGCGGGGGTGCGCCACGATGGCCATGGTAGGCGCACAAGCACCAACATGGGGGGGGGTCCAGCCCACCCACGCTCATTACGTACGATCGTTGCCGTTACCTGGGGATGGGGGAAGCGGGTGACGACCGTCGACCGATACGCGCCAGAGGATTTATAAAAAAGGATTGAGAGCAGGATCCAAGAGCACAACAAAAACACGAGAACCGAACATAATAATAAAACATGACGTGCAAGTCCACTATATATATATATACATATACATATATAGAAACAAGACTGCATTGGCGCTGCGCGCCGTGCACCTTGGTCCTTTAGAGTTTCGCTCGTTAGCGGAGTGCGTGCGTGCGTACATGCGCACACACATGCGCCTATGGAAACATACGACACGTGTACATATATACATGTATATACATATATATATATATACACATATACATATATGCATGTATATAAACATACACGTATGTATGGGTATGTACGTGTATATGCAAATGGTCTGTGTAACTATGTGTGCGCATACACATGTCATTGAAGCTCAGTGTTGGGAGCCCTGGTGTTATGTAGCGTGTTGGGGCCTCTTGGGAGTCTTCTTGGGGCCCTTTTGGATCCCTTTTAGGGCCCTGTTGGGGTTCTCTTGGGTCGTCTCGGGGCCCTTTTGGGCAGTCTTGGGGCGTCTTGGAGGCCTTTGGCCGTCGTGGGGCTCTCCTGGCGGCGTCTTGGGGCCCTCTTGGGTGCCTCTTTGGGCGCTCTTGGAGCTCTCTTGGGCCCGTCTTGGAGCCCTCTTGGGCTGTCTTGGGACTCTCTTGGGTCGTTTTCGGGCTCTGTGGGGGGCCTCTTGGGCTATCTTGGGGCGGCGATCTTTGGAGCCTCTTGGGCCGGTTCGGGCTGATGTTGGCCCGGCCAGGGAGAACCAGGAAGACCCCGAATCAATGAAATTTCCCTCTTGGGTCCCTCTTGGGAAGCCTCTTGGAGGCCTCTTGGGGCGTCTCGGGGCCCCCTTGGACGGTCTTGGGCGGTCTTGGGGTCTCTTGGAGCGCTCTTGGGCTGTCTTGGAGCGCTCGTGGACCCCTCTTGGGAGTCTCTCGGGCCGTCTGGGGCGCCTCTGGGACCGCCCGAACATCTCGGGGAAGCCCGAAACTCGTTTGGGGAGAGGGGGGGGGGCTCCGTCCGGGGTCTGTCCGGGGTCCCCGGCCCTATAAAAGTATACAAATAGGAATATATGTGTACAGTATCGCCGCCTGCCAAAAAAACTAGAAACCAGCATTATCGGAATTGGAGCTCCGTCCGGGGTCTGTCCGGGGTCCCTGGCCCTATAAAAGCACATAGATAGGAATATAGGTGTGTACAGTATCGCCGCCTGCCAACAATAACTAGAAGCCAGCATTGTCGGAACTGGGGCTGCGCCCGACGACGGCGCGCCCCCGCGGCGAGCAGGATCTCAGCGCGGCGCACGGGCGCCACGGGAGGGGCAGCTCCCAATACTGAGAACTGCAACATATCTCTGCAACAAAAAAAAACACCACAAGAAACCTTCCACAAGGAACCCAACCCTGGAATCCCAGGACGTACACTCACTTCTGCGATGGGAACGCCACGCACTCCGTTGCAAAACAATCGAAACCAAAGAAGTCCAGGGCACCCTGGAGGCAATCAGGGTGTTTCTTGGCATGGGTTCCCACTGTACACCACTACCACGTTTGTTTTGATGGAGCCCGTTCTGGCCCCTGGGCGCGAGGGGAGGGGTCCGGCCGTCTTTGGCGGCGGAGCCGCGACAGCGGTTTCCCACAAAAGCCTGACTGCGCCAAAAAAAGGTCGCCCGTCTTCTCCCGACCCTGGTGGTGGTGGTCATCTACCGTGCTTGGATTACGGGGCAACTCCTGGGAGGTCTTCGTAAGAACGGATAAGGGCTGGTAAACTGATGAAGGGGCCACGGGGCCGGATCAAGCCGGATTACTGGAATGAAGTCGGATTAAGCCGAATCAAGTGGGATGAAACGGCATTAATAAGGACTGAAGGACTGAGCGGGATTAGACCAGATTAGGCCAATTTTCGGTCACGGATATACCAGCGTCGATGCTGAATTCAGGTCCCAGGAGTTGCATCGTCAAACCTTGCCGCTGTGCGCTCTTCTATGCCCGTGCGGGGGGTGTTCCACTTGTTCGGCTCTCTCGTTGCCCTTCTTGTTCCTGGTGTGCACGCTGTGCTTGCCTTAGCATGTTGCGTTCACGTGTACTTCTCGTTTTTCGGTGGCACGAGCGTTCAGACGCGGCGATCGCCACGATCCAAGTAAGTGTAAAGTCAGAAAAAGAGAAGGACTTCGAGGCTCGATCTTTTGTGTGCACCTGACTCAGACCAGCACGAGCGTTCAGACGCGCCATCGCCTCGACAAACGCCGGTGTAACGCCAAAAAGAAAAAGGATTCGAGGTTCCAACCGCTGTGTGCAGCTGGCGGAGACCAGCACGAGCGTTTCCGACGCGGCGATCGTTTCGACCAACGCCGGCGAGACGTGAAGAAGGAGGAAGAGGAACTCGAGGTTCGACCTGTTACGCGCAACTGACTCAGACGATCCAGGCGCGCCAAGCCGCTTTGGGTGAATCCACGGACGCGTCGATGCTCAAGGCCAGCCCCGACAACACCGGGCACACACGCGCTGCCAATCTGGACACGAACTTGGAAGTCGGTTTGAGGCACGGGGCTCCAGACAAAAACTTGGATCCCCCGAGAGCGCGTATCTCCAGTTGCACGGCGGATGCAAGCTATGTGGCGCAAGGTGGTGTACGAAATTTGTGTTCAGGAGAAGATTGTCAACTCCACCGCTCGCGCACTCAACCCACCCTCCCACCCGTAAAACTTGTGTCGAAAAATCCGCGAGGCCGCGATTGCGGATATGTATGGCGCTGGCTGGCGTATCTCTGCGGCCGCGCTGGCGCGCGCACGCTCGCGCACAGAGCACACAGCTGCTTTGGCACAACTGATGCGGTCAGGATGGCGCTTACCGATTGGAACCATCTCAGAGGCCGCACTCGCGCGGGCACTTAAAGTGCGGGTCGGTGACTCGGACGGGCGCGATATCATAACGACGTCGACAACGGCGGCGATGATGGTGATGGTAGCGATGGTGGTTGCGATGAGGCGATGACGACGGGAAGGACAATGACGGTGCCGATACTGGTGACGACGACGACGACGATGATGTCCATATGTCGCTGATGAGTGCGATTGGCTGAAAATGGTGAAACGACGGCGCTTGAAAATGACGATGACGGCGGTGATGCGATGGCGCTGATGGGGGTGACGGTGAGGAAGTGCGCGCGCAAAAATTCAATAGATCAGGCCGACTGACTGCTGGATAAAAATTGGTGCTTCATGTGTTGTTGAAGGCCTCAATCTTGAAACGCTGCGGAGACCAATAGTTTGAGAAACAATTCGACACGCGCGAGGGGCGGTGCGAGCGTGTTGCCCGCATGGCTTTCTGTCGTTCGGGTTCGTGTACTGGGCGCGTGCTGGATCAACGCGGATGCGCCGCGTGGTGAGATGAGAATGCTTGTTCTGGACGAGTTTCCTTAAACCGACTGGTTCTAGCATGGTTTCAACACATGCGCGCGGGCAGAACATCCGTCGATCGGCCAGATCTGTGGTGCAGAAAGCAGAAAGTTATACGTTATGAGATTCGTAAAACTAGTCCCAACCAAATCTGTGTAGCATGATCTCGACCTGTGCGCGCGCATTGGCTTTGCGCCATGTAGTGAAAGTGATTCTTGGAACCAGATATTTTGGGGTATGTACAGACCCCCCTTTAGTAAAACGCGGTTTAGTGACAACGACCTGAGGCCCAAACCTGGCGGGCGCAAGCCTGGAAAACGGCCACGGCGCCCTCTCGAGAACCGAAAACGGACAATTCACTAATCGACGTGTCACTGTTTGGGGTTCTGTCCACCCCCGATATTCGAGAGAAGCGAAGAACTACTAGCGCAGAGTACTATCGGACAGGGATGAAGGGGGGAGGCGAGCCCCGGCGTGGCTGGAATGTTTTATGGTATGATGAGCGATATTGATAGCTCATGATTGAGAAAGTTGAGATTATTGTTGTTTGATCCCAAACAAAAAACAAGATATTATGATATTATGGGCCAAAAAAATCGTCTGGCAGAATCACGTGACAGTTGCATTACCTCAGGGGGGGCGGTTAATTCTGGACTCGGGAGGGTGGTGGAGTCAATTCTCCTGGCGCAATACACGCAGTGCAATCTAGAGTCTAGAGGCGGTACGAGGCGGCATCGGGCGGCAAAGTGGCGAGACCTCGCCGGACCCACCCTGCGCACAAGGAGGCCACGCGGCGGCCACGCGGCAACGTGGTGGCACCTCGCCGGACCCGCACGAGGCGGCCACGATGCGGCCATGGGTGGCAGCGCGTCGAAACCTCGCCGGACCCGTCCAGTTCCGTAGCCATCAGAAAGCCAGAACCCATAAGAACAGGCACTGGGAAGCGCACGTGTTCGGGCAGCCTGGCCGTCGTCGTCGAGGAAGGAGAAGAAGAAGAGAGGCTTCCGAGATGGGGTCCGAGCAGATGGGGTCGAAGGATCGCGCCGCATCGCCAATGCATCGCCGATGTATCGGCGTTGCATCGGCGATGCACGGCGACGTCGGCGATGAATCGGCGACGTCGGCGTGGGGAAGCACGGGTTCCACATCGAACCGCATCATCGATGCATTGGCGAGGCGGCGCGAGCCTCCGACCCCATCTGCTCGGACCCCATCTAGGCGGCACAGAAAGAAGAGGAAGAGGAAGGAGAAGAAGAAGAAGAAGAGGAAAACTGAGCAGGAGCAGGAGGGTGGGGAAGGAGAAGCCAGGGGGGAGGGAGGGACAGGGGAGGAGGGGAATGGAGGGCCAGGGCCGTGCGAGCGCCTCCGCCTCTCCACTCGTTCGCTGCATCGGGGCCGCGGGCCCCTACCGTCACATGCTCCGGGAGGTCTCCGTGGGGCCCCCGTAGCGGCTGTTGAAGCCGTCGTCCTCGTCCTCTGGGGCGCACCGAAACATACTGGTACGATGTGTCCTCCTCGGAGGCGCGCGTCCGATCCGAACAGATAGTATACCCATCTTGTAGTACATCGTTTCCCGAGCGGCGCGGCCAGAGAGCGCGCCGTGGCCCCCGGGGGAGGGGGGGGCGACGCACATGTAGTGCTAGCATGCTGGGGTGACGCCGATCCTCGCTGTCGCGCGTCGGCATGGCCAGGCGGAAGTCGAAGGCGCCGAACGGGCTCCTCCGGGCGGGGCCGCTGGCCTCCCGGAGGTCCTCCTCGGTCTCCTCCTTGAAGGGCTGCATGGTGGGCGCCTCCTGCATCGTGCGGCGCGCCAGGACGTTCGGCTCGAAGGGCCACGAGTCCACGACGTACGGGTTGGCCACCGCGGTGCCCACGTCCCACACCTCTCCCCGTCGCTCGGACGGCCATTCCCTGTGTTTTTGTTTCGGCTTCGTGCGTGTTTTTTTCGCCAGATGGTCGAGGATTCTCCTCGATGGTCCTCGACGACACACCTCTCCCCGTCGCTCGGACGGCCATTCCCTGTGTTTTCTGTTTCGGCTTCGTGCGTGGTTTTTTCGCCAGGCGGTCGAGGATGCTCCTCGGAGGCCCTCACCGAGAAATGGATGATAAAGGGCTCTTCGCCAGATGGCAAAGGATGCTCCTCGAAGGTCCTCACCGAGAACCAGAAAATGCACGCGTCCGAGCGGTGCCCGAGACACCTCCGGCTGCTCGTTCGCCATGGACAGCGGCCGCGGCACCAGCGCGATCTCCCCGCACGGGTGCCTGGCCAGCATCGAGGGCCCGCCGCTCACCTAAGGGGGAGGGAAAACGGCACGAGCATGAACTTTCGGAGCTTCCCTGGTGCGGGCATTAGTCATATCCACATCCGGTGCGCCTCGGATTCTTGGGCTCTCTTCCCCAGAAACCGTAGGCGCACTGGCTATGGATAAAAATCTGGCCCCAAGAGGCTTGATTTTATCCATATCCAGTGCGCCTCGGCGTTGCGGCACCTCTTCCAAAAAAGTCCACGACACTCTGGATATGGATATAAGTATTGCCCGCACTTGGGTCCACGCGGAGCGCCGAAAGTGCATGCTTATGCCGTTTGTGCTTCTTCGGTCACCGCAATGCGCTCGCTCTGAAGGAAGAAGGTCCGCTGATCCTGGACCATCTTCTCGTACTGCTCCGCCTGCATCCTTCGAGTAGGGAATCGGCTACAGAATTGATCCACCCCCAAAACTGATACTCGTCTCGGATCCATGAGGAGTGCGTGGCATGCTCGTGGCCCTACGGAACACTCAACGTTTTTGAGTGGGAAATCGACGAGAACGTCAAGTCTAGGGCACATCAATTATGTGGTCGACCCCCACAGTTCTGTAGCCGACCCCCGACTCGAATCCTGAGCAGCCGCAGGGACCCCTCCTCCTCCTTCCGCCGCGCCGCTCGGCGCGCCAGGCGGTCGCCGTGGGCCCTCTGGAGGTGTGCCGGGTCCTCCTGTTGAGGGAGGGGCGGGGGAGGGAGGCGGGAGAACGGGGAGGAGCAAGGGGACGGAGACGGGGAGGGATGGGGGAGGGAAGAGAAGCAGAGGGAGAAGGGGATGGAGGGGATGGGGCGAGGAGGAGGAGGAGGAAGAGGAGGAAGAGGAGGACGGGAACAGGAGGGGAAAGGAGGAGGAGGAGGAGGAGGATGGGGAACAAGGGAGAACTCTCCCTCTTCATCCTCCTCTTCGTCCTCCTAGAGTCGGACCTAGGCCAGAAGAACATCCCTCAAGAACATGAGACCCTCCGTCGGCCAAAACAAACAGAACATACAAGGGTACCCTCCCCAGAATGCACAAGAACATCCGACAAGCACGAAGAACACTAGGGGTACCCTCCCCGAACCGACCTCGATATTCTACCTCGGTCCGTCTGTGCTTCATCCTCCTCATCCTTCCCCTCTCCTGCATCCCTTTTCCTGTTAAGTGCCTCCTCCCTGTCGCGCCCCCAGACGTGTCGGCAGGGCGGTTCGAGCGTTTCGCCTGAGACCGCCTCGCAGCTGATGATCCTGACGCCCGACAACTGCAACAATTTCACGGTATGGAGGGCGCGCGAATTAAATTACACCAGAGAAAAATCCCAATCAAGGCATGGCTTGAAATGGAATCGATAAAGAGACCGATAAGGAGATCGACCGGGAACCCGGGAACCCCGGAACCCGAACCCACCGAAATCGGCCCAGAACCAATAACTGGGAACCCAGGAGCCCGGAACCGGTAACCCGGTAACCCAGCTGGCTACCAAAATCGGCGGGAAACTTTCGCCAATTCTTTCAATTACACCAGAGAAACACCCCAATCAGTGGATGCGTTTCGCTGAAGAGATCGACCGGGAGCACGGGAACCCAGAACCCACCGATATCGGCCTGAAAACCAATAACCAAGAACCCGGGAATCCGGAACCGGTAACCCAGTCACCCAGCTGGCTACCAAACTCGGCGGGAAACTTCCGCCAAATCTTTCAATTTCCGATCTTCGTCAATCGCGGAAACCAAGCTTTCGCGAAAACCAACCCGTCGCCAATCTTCCTACTCCTCCTCCTCCTCCTCCTCCTCCTCCTCCTCCTCCTCCTCCTCCTTGCAAGCACTGATTAGGGAAAAAGTGGCTCTCGCCAGAGCGCCGCGCACACTCAACAAAAACTTGCAACGGTTGCCAGGATGCAGGGCGGGTCCTTTTCATAGTGTGGTTCTCGCCTCAGCACCACGTGCATTCGCCATAACAGTTGTTTGCAGCAACTTCACGGCCAGAGGACGGGCGGCTTTCAAAAAATGTGGCTCTCGCCTGAGCGCCGCACAGACTCGTCTTAAGAACTGGACGAGGTTCACGGATGGAGGGCGGGTCGTTTTCAGAATGTGGCTCTCGCCTTAGCACGCGCTTTCGTTTTGATATTCTACAGTTTCAAGAACTCGCATGGTCGAAGCCCCAGGAATGGCGTTCTTTGAAAATTCTATATTGTCAAGACACAATGGTCACGTTGAGTCGCGGTGTTGAATGTTTTTGGCACGATTACACATTCCCAGACGCGTGTCTTCCAATGGGGCATTCCCCGGAATACAAACAACATTCTTCTATGACCCAACGAAGAGGGAGCTTAGAGGGAGGGCATATTGCAACGTCGATGATGCGTCTTGGATTTTCACTGTTCCTCCTCAGCCTCAGCCTTCTCCTCCGCATCCTCCTCCTACTCTCCCCCTCAGCCCTCCTCAGCCTCCACCTCCTCCTGCTCCTCCTCGTCATCATCCACCTCTCATCCTCCCTCCTTCCTCCTACCGTCCACTACCTCCCTCGTCCTTGACCTCCTCTTCCTGCTCCTCCTCCTCCTCCATCATACACATCCCTCCTCAGCCATCCTCCTCCGCATTCTCCTCCCCATCCTCCTCCGAATCCCTGTCTTCCTCCTCCTCCTCCTCCTCCTCCTCCTCCTCATCATCATCATCATCATCACCATCATGACCATCCATCCTCCACCTCCTCCACCACCACCTCCTCCATCTCGTCGTCATCATCATTATCATCAGCATATTTAGCATCGTCAACCTCACAATCATCGTCATACCCATGCATTGCCATCCCTCCTCGTCCCCATCGTCCTCCTCCTTCCTCAGCCCGCTCCTCCTCCTCCTCCTCAGCATCATCCTCCCCCCAACCACCACAATCA